ATTAGTAGTAGTAGTAGTATTTAATAGTGTATAAAATATTTAATATTATTTGTATTTATTATTTTATAAAATATATATTTTTTTTTTCAAATAGTATATATGTTTATTTATTCATGAATTTTTATTTATTAGTTTTATTTTTATTCATTTGAGCTATTTTAGTACTTGAACTTAAACTAAAAAAACGAGAAATATTGCCTAGGCAGCTAGCTAGAAAAAAACAAGTTTAATAAGTTCTTTTATATTTTATTTCAGTTAATGCTTATGTACAACAGAATTTTTTTTTATGGTTTTAGTTTTAGTTGACAATAACCCTGCCTCTTAACAAGTGAATTTGTAAACATCCTTAAAAGAAAATAAAGTATATAGCACAGTCCTGTGTTTTTTTGGTTTGTTTGTTTTTTTGTTTCAACATCAAAATGTAGGTCTTTTTAAAAGCAATTTACAAAAACATCAGATTTGTTGATGTCCTCCTTCCACTAGTGGATCTAGTTAATACTCTGTTGGAGCTCATGGAGATCTGAGTAGGTTTGTTTTCTCCATCGGGTCTGAGATTTATGAGCTGTTGTGAATGAGCTGTGCTTTAAGTGCTGCGTGTCTGTGTTTATGTCTCAGACGGACCGAGGCTTTCTCTCCTCTCCTCGGGATGTGATGTGAAATGTTTAGCTTTCTGCTCGAATGCTCCTTCATTTGGCAAAGCTTTACAGCGAGACTCGCAATAATAATAATAATAAAGATAAAAGAGAAGACGGCCGGCCTCGCTCTCATCTGACATCAAGCAAAGCTCATTCTGGATGAAATACTGTCTAAATATGTGACCCTGGAGCACAAAAGCAGGCTTAAGTCGCTGGGGTATATTTGTAGCAATAGCCAACAATACATTGTATGGGTCAAAATTATACATTTTTCTTTTATGCCAAAAATCATTAGGATATTAAGTAAAGATCATGTTCCATGAAGATATTTTGTAACTTTCCTACCGTAAATATATCAAAACTTAATTTTTGATTAGTGATATGCATTGCTAAGAACTTCATTTGGACAACTTTAAAGATGATTTTCTCAATATTTAGATTTTTTTGCACCCTCAGATTCCAGATTTTCAAATAGTTGCATCTCAGCCAAATATTGTTCAATCCTAACAAACCACACATCAATGGAAAGCGTCTGACTGATGCACAAAATAACAGCCGCAGACGGTTTTGTTGTTCTGTGTCGTTTAGAAGCAGCTCTATCTGAAACAGTGGATGATATTAATATTGATTATAGACCAGTGTGGAAAAGTCATTACACAGAAATGTGTGTAAACTAGTGCTTCACAGACAGAACTACTGTAAACATAAAGTTCTGCTTCTGGAGATCTAGTTTACATGCTGCTAATCGCCTTGAGCTAAACTCTTCTAATGATTTACGGCTGCTAAACACATCCAGATGATTACGTTCAGACCTGGTTTTTAATGTTTTTGAAAGAAGTCTCTTCTGCTCACCAGGGCTGCATTTATTTGATCAAAAATACAGTAAAAATCGTTTAAAAATATTAGAATGTAAAACAGCTGTGTTCTATGTGAATATGTGTTAAACTGTAATGTATTTCTGTGATGCGCAGCTGTATTTTCAGCATCATTACTCCAGTCTTCAGTGTCACATGATCTTCAGAAATCATTCTAATATGCTGATTTGCTGCTCAACAAACATTTCTGATTATTATCAATGTTGAAAACAATATTTTTGTATGACAATAACTGTCATACATTACCATTCAAGAGTTTGAGGTAAGAAATTAATACTTTTATTCATCAAATATGCATTAAATTGATCAAAAATGACAATAAAGACATTTATAATGTTAGAAAAGATTTCTATTTCTAACTGAAAATACAGCTGCGCATCACAGAAATACATTACAGTTTAACACATATTCACACAGAAAACAGCTGTTTTACATTCTAATAATATTTAATATTTTATTCTGTATATTTGATCACATAAATGCTGCTTTGGTGAGCAGAAGAGACTATCAAAAACATTAAAAAATCATCATTATTCCAGGCGATTGATCAGTTTTTGTGTGAGATTCAGTAAACTCTGGCATCTATGCGATATTCACAGAATTCACAATCACACATGAGCCTTTCCTTTGCATTTTCTGGCTTTTTTGTTTTTGTTGAATAAAACTCTTGGTCATGAAACCAGACTGTAAAAGTGTGTGAAATTGAGTACCAAGTACTAGTATGTTAGTCAACAAAGAGAATTAGTGGACATCATTCAAATGCAGTGCTTTTGTAAAAGAAGCTTTAAACAGAGAAGCAACAGCTCTTTTACGAGAGGACACGCTGCTTTGTTTAACTGCTTGCTTTTGTGACACAAACCAGCTTCGCTCGTAAAAATTTAAATATAGCCAAAAGGGCGTCATGTACGTCATAGTAACATTTCACTTTTTACAGTATTGATGCGTTTTTAATTATGAATATAAAGTATACTGTACAAAAATATGTGAGCAAACTCAGTTGAAAATGTATCATTTACGTTTTTTTTTTCTTAAAATTTTAATAAATACAATCAATTGAAATAAACATAGATATATAAATATATAAAAAATGTTTACAGTTTGAATATATCATTTAAAGTTTTTGAAGTTTGAATGTGTCATTTATTGTTTGACTGAATATATGATGTAGATTTTTTGAATATATAATTTACAGTGTTGTCTATTTTTATAGTTTAGATCTTTTACAGTTACTATGTTTTGCAGCTAATATATTTAACACTGAATATGTCATTTATAGTGTGAATATATCATTTCAAGTTTTTGTATGATTGTTTTTACAGTTTGAATATGTGATTTACACATTTAATATATAATTTACAACTTGAATGTATCATTTATGGTTTAAATAAATAATTTACACTTTGAAAGTGTCATTTAACATTTTTACTGTTTAAATGTATCATTTAGAGTTTTTACAGTTTGAACGTATCATCAGTTTGGATATAAAAGTTACACTTTGAATGTATCATTTCTGGTTTGAATGTATCATTTAAATGTATCATATACATAGTTGACTTTGACTACTCTTTGACCTGTCTCTGATTCGTCTGCTTTCACCTCAAAATAGATGCTGCTAAAACACATGCATATATTTAAATAAATATATATATAAATATATATATTTTGTTTTTTACTTTTCTTTTTTGGTCCATAAACAGTAAATATAATACAGTACCATAAAACATGTTATTTGTATATTTCATTGCATTTCAATTCATTATCTTCCAAACATAAAACAACAAAAAAATCCCAATATATGCTATTAGATTGAAAAATAAACAAATGGACCATTAGATTCAAATACAAGCATGCATTAGATGCATTCGACAGTTAAGAACCAGTTTGACTAACAGTTGCCAAGCAGTAATCAGCCAATACAAATAAGACCAATCTACCTTTTCATAAATGAATTTAAAAAGTGATGAGCAGTCTTGAAGAAAAAAAAAATTAGATGAACTTTTTAAGTCTAGTCTAAACAGTTTATGCAGCCATGCGTGTGAATGAATGTCACAGATGACAGGAGTGTCACTGATAGCTTAGATCAGAGCTGATTCTCATGCGATGCGCTTGTGCTTACTGAAGCTCATTATCATGAGTGTTACTGCTGTCTGTCCTCAGAATCAGGATCTCAGCTGCGTGGTCTGTCGAATCGTCTCTCGCTCAGACGAGCTTCATCCGCCGGTTCTCCCGCCGCGGCCCGAGCTGACGGTGACCCTGAGGGGCCAGTGGGCTTCCCGCCGCTGCGAGGTCCGGCCCGAGGTCCTGTTCCTCACGCGACACTTCATCTTCCACGACAGCAACCACACCTGGGAGGGTCACTACTATCACTACTCTGACCCGGCCTGCAGACACCCCACCTTCAGCCTGTTCGCCCGCGGACGCTACAGCCGCGGCCTGCGCTCCACACGCGTCATGGGCGGCACTGAGTTTGAGTTCAGAGGTCAGAGTTCAACTCGTTTAACAGCTTGCAAACACACGCCTTGGGTTTTTTATTATGGTTTATTTGTTTTTATTATATTAGGTATTAAAAACAAATCTATATCACGATGCAAAAAATAAATACATGAAAAAATAACAATCATAATGGTTCTAAACATAAAAGAAATCTACATTTTACCACCCAAAACATAGATATTTATTTATAGATATATTTAATTATTTATGTTTCTCTAAAAAATGTTTAAAAAATGTGTATATCACAATGCAAAAAAATCAATAAATACATGCATAAAAATATTAAATCGAAATGGTTCTAATCATAAAAAAATCTAAAATCTTTACGGTCTGAAACAGAGATATTTATTATTATGTATAAAATTTGTGTGCATCACAATGCAAAAAAATCTCAATTGTTCTAAAAAAAAATACAATACAAATTTTTCAAATCTTAAATCGTAATGGTTCTAAACAAAATAATTCTAAAATCTTAACAGTCTGAAACATAGATATTTATTTATAGATTTTCATAAATATTTGTTTATATATATATAAAGCCTATGTTTTGAACCATTAAGGTTTTAAGAGTATCAATTTTTAGTTGCTTGCATTGTGATATACACAATTCTCAAAAAAAAAAAAATA